TTGACAAGCTCTGGTGGGGTGAGGCAATCACTATGGCAATTTATGTTCGCAACAGGAGACCCACAAGGCCCTTACCGGATGGTGTAACGCCATATGAGGCTTGGTTTGGAGTTAAACCAGATCTGTCTATGCTTCGTGTTTTTGGTTCCATGGCCCAATACCGTGTTCCAGATGCAAAGAGACTCAAGCTGGACAGCAAAGCTCATTGGGGCCTCTTCATCGGCATGAGCAATGAGAGCAAGGGATGGGTCCTTTGGGATCCTGTCACCAAGCGAGAAGTGGTTTCAAGGGATGTTGTCTTCTATGAAGACATGTCCCTTGCAGGTTGGCATAAGTTTTCCTCTTCCTCCTCTCTACCCTCTATCCAACAGGAACCAGCAAGCGCACCTGAGGAAACAACACAAGAGGAGGAAGAAGATGACACCGATTCTGACTATAGCGGACCGATCATCGATCTCCCTCAAGCCGTCGTCAACGAGTCCAGCCGTGCCACGCCAGTACCACCAGCAGCTACTCAACCAAGTGGAGATGAAGTTCAGCCATCAAATGAAGACAATCCACCGCAGCAAGTCACCGTTCCATCACCACCAAAGGAGCAGCAGCCAACAGTCACAAACCAGCCAGCTATATCAACACCAACCTCACAATTTCAATGCCAACCGGATCAGCCCACCACTACGCCATCAAACCCATCACCAGCCATCACTCCAGAGGCAACTACAGAAGCTCATCATCATCCCATGCAGCAGCAATCAACAGCTACAAGACCCCAAGTACCTACATCAACACCATCTACGACTCTTCCTAGCAACAAGTCAACCGTCACCGCAACACCTCGTTCTCATACCACACGTTCATCACTTGTTCCAACGTCAAGCCAGCTCATAGCACGAGGATCACTTCAGCGAGTCATCACCAACACCAGCTCCAACAGCCCACTTCTTCACCCAAGACCTTTCTCAACTTCACCCCCACGTCCCGGATTCGGTCGTCATCAGTTACCACCATCTTCAACACCGAGCAACAACACCAACCAGCCCCAACCATCACCACCTCTCGACAAGGCAGCGTCATCATCAATTGCCAAGCTTCTAGTCTCAAGATCCCCACCAAGAGCATCTTCACAACCATCTATGCCGACAAACGTTTCAGCTTCACCGCCACGAGTCACCATACCTAATCCTCAAGTCAACACCGATAATCAAGATATTTCCACGCCAGGAGAAGAACAAGCAGCCGTGCCGCCGTCGCAGCCGATGTCGCAGCCGTTGTCTCAGCCGCAAATGACCGCATCAACGCAATCAAACACTGTGAGACCGAACCCTACCACTAATGTGTCTTAGCCAAGTGAGGATTTTGGTAAAGGTAAACGAGTCCGCAAGGTAAAAAAGCCCTTCACTTTCATGGTTGACATGTCATCAAGGTGCACATGTGAGGAGAGTGAGAATTGCATTCACAAGAAGGTAGAGGCAATATGCATGGCAGCATCACACCTTCCGCGAGAGCCCTTGAGTCGTCGTGAGGCAATGGCAAGTCCCGAGAGAGAGCATTGGTTGAAAGCCGAGGAAGAAGAGATTGAGAGTCTCATGAAGCGAGGTACATGGCGTCTTGTTGAGCCACCTCCAGGGAAGAAGGTAATTGGTGTCAAATGGGTGTACAAGATCAAGGTAAAAGGTGATGGTAGCCTCGATAGGTACAAGGCAAGGTTAGTGGCAAAATGTTATTCCCAAATTCCAGGTCTTGACTTCACCAAAACCTTTGCCGCGGTAGCAAAGTACACCACGGTACGAGTCCTCCTCGCCATAGCCGCATATCTTGGTCTCCATATCCATCAAATGGATGTCAAGAACGCATTTCTCTACGGTGTCTTGGAAAAAGAGGTATACATGGCACAACCCGAAGGTTATGATGACGGTACGGGTCGAGTGTGTCGCTTGGTAAAGTCCCTTTATGGTCTCAAACAGTCCCCACGGGTTTGGTATCATGCTCTTGAGCAGGTACTTTTCAAGCATGGTTTCACAAGGTCCATGAGAGACAACGCTCTGTACTTCATGCATACGAGTGAGGGGGAGTACATTTGGCTCTTGGTATATGTCCATGACCTCCTCCTAGTCTCAGGTTCTCTTGATCTTCTCAACAAGGTGAAAGGTATTCTCACGAGTGCATTCACGATGACCGATCTTGGTGAGCCGAGTCATTGTCTTGGTATGAACATTGTGAGAGATCATAAGTCACGGTCCATCTTCCTATTCCAGCAAAGGTACATCCAAAAGGTCCTTGAGAGGTTTGGTCTTGATGATAGCAAGCCATCACCTACCCCACTTCCTTCCAACTTTGTCCCTTTGTCTTCACATCAGCCCTATGAAGAGAGAGAGTCAAGCCTTGATATCATAGGTATTAAGGAGTTGTGTCTTGAGGAGAGTGAGCATCATGGTGAGAATTCACTTAAGGTATCCCCACAAGACCTAGCTCTCTACCAAAGTCAGGTTGGGTGTCTCATGTATGCAGCCCTATGCACAAGGCCCGACTTAGCATTCACGGTATCTAAGCTAGCTCAACACATGAGTGCCCCTTCACCTATTCATATGCATGCAGCCAAGCGAGCTCTTCGGTATCTCAAAGGTACTTCTAATCATGGTCTTCTCTTCCAAGCCAGCCCATATGCAAGCTCCCTCCAAGGTTTTACCGATGCAGATTGGGCGGGAGAATTGAGCACACGCAAGTCTACCGGCGGCTACATCTTCCTCATGTGTGGTGCCGCTGTTTCTTGGCAATCGCGCAAGCAAAGTTGTGTGGCACTTTCAACAACCGAAGCTGAGTACATGGCAATGACCGAAGGAGCAAGGGAGGCAATCTGGTTACGTGGACTCTTGGAGGACTTGAGGCAGCCGCAAACTCAACCAACTCCGCTCTACGTGGACAACACTTCAGCCATAGCTCTTTCCAAAAACCCGGTTCATCATGGGCGTACAAAACACATCGAGGTGCAGTACCACTTCATTCGTGAGCAACTAGAGAAGGGAGTTCTCGCCGTCAACTTTTGCCGTTCATTCGATCAAGCAGCAGATTTCATGACCAAGGTTCTTCCACATGATGCATTCAACATGTGCAAGGCAAGAGCAGGCCTCATGACACTTCATGAAGCAGTGGAGCAGTTTGAGGAGAATGAGGAGTGTGAGGAGAAGAGACGTGGGCAGCAGCACGGTGTGTATGCTAAGGAGATGTGAGAGGAGCATCAGCATGGGTGTATGTGTGCTTCGGATCTGGTGCGAGGGGGAGTGTTGGAGAGTCGAGATTCTGCCGCCCCAGCCCTTTGCACACAAGGAGCAGCAAGGGGGGGATGGATCGAAGGCTTGGCGAAAAGTTCGGAAACTTTCCCAACCAATCGGATTTCAGCCGAAGTCTCGATACAGTTCGGAGTTGACTTCAAACCGAAGTGTTGGGAGTTTCTACAGGTTTCTACACATCAGAATCAGCTATACCAGAAATATCCAGAGTTTTCTTATTCATGCACCTCATGTGGCACTCAAAGTCACTCAAGGTCCATGCAATCTAGATTGTGCCCAAGTTACCAAGGAAGTTACATTGTCTATCAGCCTAGTTTGAGCTCTCAATCTGTCTTTTTTGTGATGCCTATAGAGTTGTGCTTTAGTGGGCTTGTTAATCTTGAACATAGTGAAGTTTTACCTCATCCAGTCAATTCCAGCAGCCCTGCTAAGACTTTCCAGCCAAGTTTCCAGCCCTCCAGTAGTCACAGCTACTCTGTTTTACAAGTCAATCGTGGTGTGCCAGGGATGTGTGTGGGCCTATTGTACGACTCTGCAGCTGGTGCTGGTTTGTGTTTTGAAGTTCCAAATTGCGCTCAATCTGTTTCAAGTTTTTGGGTGAGTGTTGGCAAGACGGGTTCCTCAGAACCCTGGTCTGCGACGGAACACAATTGTGTTCAATTTCATTGGCTCCCATCGCGAGGGGGTTTGTTCTCATTGGTTCACAACCTCAATTGTGTCGCGCGGACTTCAGCCTCCTCTAAACTCGGTAACCCGAAAGTCAGGGCGTCAAGTTTTGAAGCCCGAGTTCCACATGGCTGTTTTCATATTCAAGATTCTTGAATATGAATTCGCCAAACACCATGTTACCACCCGAAGTTGAGCACTCTTTCACAATCAAGGGGAACTGGTGTGCGACAGTGATCCGTGATTGGCCAGCGACACTCAAAGTCTCACAGGGAGAGGGGTCCGCTTGCAATGCAGCACTGTTCACGCTCAGTAAACTTGAAAACCATCTTGTACTAAGTGGCAAGCATACTAAACCTGGTTCACCCGACTTTCACGCTCATAGAATAACTCCTTTGACACACCAAAACTCGTGTACGAACACACGCGGCATGTCCTGCTATATTCTCATTGGTATGGTTAGGATGCTGGTACACCACGTTCAGATGGCAACTGTCGCGACGTCGCAACGCCTTCTGTTCCAGCTCCCATTACTCGCATGCAAGCGAGGTCGTTGACAATGCCCCTCGTCGCCCTGTTTCGGATATTCGCCCACGCTTGCAACGATCCGTACTTGGCAGGGTAACGCGGACCTTTCCGAAACCATGTGCTTTACTCCGCGCATCGCCGTTCAGTGTGAGGTTTGAGTAGACTCATCCCGCCAACTCGCCGTTCGTCTTAGTAGTATCCATCGTCCAGACCTTGGGTCCAGTGGTAGATGACCCATTGTTAGTACAATCCGTACACTCCACATCGACCCATGCACCTACAACGTCTACGGGTAGGAATAATCTCCGAGTAATACTAGCTTCTAGATTGATGGGCGCAGTGATCCCGATCCTCCTCGCGTCGTCGCTTTTCCCGTCTGTGTTACCCTCTCTCGCCGCTTTCGCCGCTGCGAATCCTGCGGCTGCAGCCGCCGTAGACGCTACCGAGGCGCTCTATAATGCGTTGATTCGCGACGACGCCAGCCTCGGCGGCGGCGCGAACGCGTCAACGACTTCGCTAATGTGGACCGCGAGCCTGATGCGCGGCATGGGCGCGGACCAGGAGGTCATAAACGCGCGGAACTCGCCGCTCGGCGCGCTGCTTGTGGCGCCGACTAACTACGCGTGGCAGCAGTTCTTCGATTTTCTGGAACAAGCAAACACGAGGCAACCTGCGGGCAGGTGGAGAGGTCACGACCCCCCAGCACCATACAGCAGCGACATTACTCAGTTGGGAGTAGACGTGCGCAGAGTAACGGCGTGGCTGAAACTCTTTAACGTGCCAGAGCGAGCCAGGGCGAAGCAGCCGACTGCGACTTGGACAGGTGGGTATAGATAGCCGACCCTTGCTGCTGATACGAAACCCCCTCCTCTGCTTCCACGCATCCCCTCCCTGCTTCCCCCCATCCTCTTCCCTGCATCCCCACATCCACTTCCTTCTTCCGCCCATCCCCTTCCCTGCTTACCCCCGTCCCCTTCCCTGCTTCCCCCCATCCCATTCCCTGCTTTCCCCCATCCCGTTCCCTGCTTCCCCCCATCCCGTTCCCTGCTTCCCCCCATCCCCTTCCCTGCTCCCCCCCATCCCCTTCCCTGCTTCCCCCCATCCCCTTCCCTGCTCCCCCCCATCCCCTTCCCTGCTTCCCCCCATCCCCTTCCCTGCTTCCCCCCATCCCCTTCCCTGCTTCCCCCCATCCCCTTCCCTGCTTCCCCCCATCCCCTTCCCTGCTCCCCCCCATCCCCTTCCCTGCTTCCCCCCATCCCCTTCCCTGCTCCCCCCCATCCCCTTCCCTGCTTCCCCCCATCCCCTTCCCTGCTCCCCCCCATCCCGTTCCCTGCTTCCCCCCATCCCCTTCCCTGCTCCCCCCCATCCCCTTCCCTGCTTCCCCCCATCCCCTTCCCTGCTCCCCCCCATCCCCTTCCCTGCTTCCCCCCATCCCCTTCCCTGCTTCCCCCCATCCCCTTCCCTGCTTCCCCCCATCCCCTTCCCTGCTTCCCCCCATCCCCTTCCCTGCTCCCCCCCATCCCCTTCCCTGCTTCCCCCCATCCCCTTCCCTGCTCCCCCCCATCCCCTTCCCTGCTTCCCCCCATCCCCTTCCCTGCTCCCCCCCATCCCCTTCCCTGCTTCCCCCCATCCCCTTCCCTGCTTCCCCCCATCCCCTTCCCTGCTTCCCCACATCCCCTTCCCTGCTTCCCCCCGTCCCCTTCCCTGCTTCCCCCCATCCCATTCCCTGCTTTCCCCCATCCCATTCCCTGCTTTCCCACATCACGTTCCCTGCTTCCCCCTATCCCCTTCCCTGCTTCCCCCCATCCCCTTCCCTGCTCCCCCCCATCCCCTTCCCTGCTTCCCCCCATCCCCTTCCCTGCTTCCCCCCATCCCCTTCCCTGCTTCCCCCCATCCCCTTCCCTGCTTCCCCACATCCCCTTCCCTGCTTCCCCCCATCCCCTTCCCTGCCTCCCCCCATCCCCTTCCCTGCCTCCCCCCATCCCGTTCCCTGCTTCCCCCCATCCCCTTCCCTGCTTCCCCCATCCCGTTCCCTGCTTCCCCCCATTCCCTACCCTGTTTCCCCATATCCCCTTCCCTGCTTCCCCCCATCCCCATCCGTGTGCACCCATCTATTTCCCCATACATGCTTTCATCATTCCCCATGACCCCTTCCCTGCTTCCCCATGTCCCCTTCCCTGCGTCCCCAAGTCCCCTTCCCTGCTTCCCCATGTCCTCTTCCCTGCTTTCCCATGTCCCCTTCCCTTCTTCCCCATGTCCCCTTCCCTGCTTCCCCCCATCCCCTTCCCTGCTTTCCCCCGTCCCCTTCCCTGCTTCCCCGTGTCCCCTTCCCTGCTTCCCCCCATCCCCTTCCCTTCGGGTGCCCCATCCCTAAACATGCTTCCCCCCATCCTCTTCCCTTCCCCCCACCCCCTTCCCTGCTTCCCCATGTCCCCTTCCTTGCTTCCCCATGTCCCCTTCCCTGCTTCCCCCCATCCCATTCCCTGCTTTCCCCCATCCCCTCCCCTGCTTCACCGTGTCCCCTTCCACGGCACTCACATGCACCACTTGTCTGCTCTTCATATTCTTCCTCAGATTCCTCCTCACATGTGTTGCGGAACCCTGGTCTGCACTTTGCCTGACTGCATGTCTGCCTCCCCATGATCTGTGTCCGTGTCTTTCAGCCTCCGTGCGTGCCTGCGTGTGTGTATGCCTGCGTGCGCGCATGCGTGACAGCCGACACTGTGCAGGCAACTGTGCTGAATCTGGATCATGGGGCAAAGGCATTTGAATCGAGTAGAGCTGTGTGGTGTGGTTAGTGCGGAGTGGCATGGAACGAAGGCGCAACCCGGCAAGCACAGAGTGTAGAGGCCGCGGCATGATATCTAGATTGTCAGCAGGAATCGACTTGTGGGTCGGTTGTTTGGTGCCAATGGTTTAGGGTCTGAATTGGGTTCATGTGCTGATGATACCGTGTACAGGGGGTGTACTGTGTATGCCCTATCTCAATCTTGACCCGAGCTCCAACACGTAAAAAGACATGAAGAAGTTAGCTTGTGCCAAGCTGTAATATTTCCCTAACAAACATGCACAGCATAGCCAATGTCAAGCATACTATTATCCAAAAACGGTTTCTCGGTATAACGGTGTGTCATACATGGTGAAAACGCATCTCGCCAAAGAATGTTTGGCCTGGTACGTAGCACTTCGAATCCGTGAAGCACACTCGCCGTTATAGAACCGCTCCGCAGACATCATAGTCAGCCGCTTTGAATGAACTGCAAGTTCACCCAGCATGACACGCCCTTAGAAAAGCGACTTGCCGTTGCCAAAAACCTAAACCTGAATTCCCCAAGATACGTTGTGAGATTTATGTGGAGCTTCACTCAAGACGGTTCCGCCGAATATGTCCAGGTAAGCCCAGCAGAGAGGAGTGGCCAAGAGTGGCGGCGTCGGGCACATGAAAGGAGGAGTAGAGGGAAAATTTCGAGGGGCTCTCCTTGCTGGAGCTTTGCAATGGCTGATTTGCGGAGGGGGGAGGGGGGGGGTGGAGGGGTCGTGGGGGGAGTGGGGTGGGGGGCAGAGGCGAAGGAGATGGCTCAGGAAGCTGGGAACAAGGAGGAGGAGCAGCAGGTTGACAAGCTAGCTCTCACTGCTTACTGTGTGCATTGGCTGTCAAAATGTGGGGGAGTGGGGAGTGGTTGGGAAGGGGGGAAAAGAAGGGAGAGAGGGGAGGTGGGAAAGAGTCAAGGTGATTGTCTTTGAGATGATTTCTAACGGGAATCATGGGAGGGATGGGAGATTTGTTGGTGGAGCTAGGAGAGAGAAGAAGGAAGTGGAGAAAAATGGGGAGATGGCATGGGATATCATGCACTAGTGCAAATGACAAATGCACCATCGGTCAACTGCAATACACCAGAGTCACCTGCACTGCACCAGGTGTCATTTGCCACTAGGCGGCAGACGTCCCAGGGGGCCGAGGCAAACCACCAGGGAAAGCCGCCCTGCCCCCTCCATGTCCCTCTGCGAGTACGCCAGCAGCGGCACTCCCTGCACTGGCGGGCCCAATTTTAGGCGCTGACATGGGATGTATCGCAGGGATGGGGGATGGGGAGACGGTGCATCTGAAGGTTTTTGGTCAAGTGGAAGGAGTTGAGGGAGACAGGGAAGCGTGGAGAGGCGAGAGGGGGATAGATCTGCTAGTAGCCCCTGCAACACGTCCTGCTAGTAGCTGGAAAACGGGTTAGGGCTGAAAGACAAATGAAGTGCAAAGGCAGCATCACCACGCGCAGCCGTGCCTGCGGCAACAGTGAGGCACTATAAGCCAAACAACAGCAGCAAAGCACAGGTAGCAATAACTTGTAATGATGTGCAAGCGGATGGGGTGTGAGAAGTGCAAAGGCTGAAGCAACACTGGCTGCAGATAGGTGTGGTGTGATGAAAGACTAGCTATCTACAAAGGCAGCAGCACCACGTGCTGGGGGGAGCAGGGAAGGGGACATGGGGAGGCAGGGAAGGGGATGGGGGGAAGCAGGGAATGGGATGGGGGGAAGCAGGGAAGGGGATGGGGGGAAGCAGGGAAGGGGATGGGGGGAAGCAGGGGACGGGACAGGGGGGAGCAGGGAAGGGGAGGGGGGAAAACAGGGAAGGGGACAAGGGGAAGGGACATGGGGAAGCAGGGAATGGTTTGGCTCTAAGCAGGGAAGGGGAGGGGGGGGAAGCAGGAAAGGGGATGAGGGAAAGCAGAGAAGGGGATAGGGGGATGTAAAGAACGGAACATGGGAAAGCATGGAAGGGGACAAGGGGAAACCGGGAAGGGTATGGGGAAAAGCAGGGGAGGGGAGGGGGGTAAGCAGGGAATGGAATGGGGGGGATGCAGGTAAGGGGAAGGGGGAAAGCAGGGAAGGGGATATGGGGAAAGAGGGAATGGGAATGGGGGGAGGCAGGTAACGGGAAGGGGGAAAGCAGGGAAGGGGAGGGGGGAAAGCAGGGAAGGGGAGGGGGGTAAGCAGGGAAGGGGAGGGGGGTAAGCAGGGAATGGAATGGGGGGAAGCAGGGAAGGGGAATGGGGGAAGCACTGAAGGGGAGGGGGGGAAGCAGGGAACGGGACATAGGAAAGCAGGGAAGGGGACAAGGGGAAGCAGGGAAGGGGATGGGGGGAAGCAGGGAATGGGATGGGGGGAAGCAGGGAATGGGATGGGGGGAAGCAGGGAAGGGGATGGGGGGAAGCAGGGAAGGGGATGGGGGGAAGCAGGGGACGGGACAGGGGGGAGCAGGGAAGGGGAGGGGGGAAAACAGGGAAGGGGATGGGGAAAAGCAGGGAAGGGGACATGGGGAAGAAGGGAAGGGGATGGGGGGAAGCAAGGAAGGGGGTGGGGGAAAGCAGGGAAGGGGATGGGGGAAGGCAGGGAAGGGGATGGGAGAAGGCAGGGAAGGGGACATGGGGAAGGCAGGGAAGGGGACATGGGGAAGCAGGGAATGGGATGGGGGAGAGCAGGGAAGGGGATGGGGGGAAGCAGGGAAGGGGATGGGGGAAAGCAGAGTAGGGGATGGGGGGAAGCAGGGAAGGGGACATGGGGAAGCAGGGAAGGGGATGGGGGGAAGCAGAGTAGGGGATGGGGGGAAGCAGGGAAGGGGATGGGGGGAAGCAGGGAAGGGGATGGGAGAAGGCAGGGAAGGGGATGGGAGAAGGCAGGGAAGGGGACATGGGGAAGCAAGGAATGGGATCAGGGGAATCAGGGAAGGGGATGGGGGGAAGCAGGGAAGGGGATGGGGCAAAGCAGGGAAGGGGATGGGGGGAAGCAGAGAAGGGGATGGGGCAAAGCAGGGAAGGGGACATGGGGAAGCAGGGAAGGGGATGGGGGAAAGCAGGGAAGGGGATGGGGGAAAGCAGGAGTAGGGGATGGGGTTCGACTAGTTGTGTTTAGTCGCAGCAGAGACAGTTGTGGCTTTGACATTTGCTCTCTAAACCTCTAGATGATGACGCAGCAGAGTAACAACAACTGCGCAGCAGAAGAGACAGTAGGACAAGTGACGCAAGATATTGTGACCGCAACCATACATCACATGCGCTGTGCTAGGCAACGGGAGCACGTGATGATCATCCTGCGGTACAAGTCAGGTATAGTTGATATGTCAATGCTGGGATTGAGGCTCCAGAAATGGATGTGTGTCTTACAAGGAGAGGGTGCGTTGTTCTGTTGTTCCTGGCAGCCTTATGGATGGATGACAGACAAGTCCTGTGCCCCAATTGCAGCAATGCGTCTTACCTATATCGATGGGAAAGAGATGATAGTGGGGGAGTTGAAGAGGCAGCGGCACCAAGTGCTGCGGTGCCAGCGGCACGAGTTAGGCATGCAAACCCAAACAGATAGACGATGTGACAGTAGCAGTGACACCCACATGCTGTGAGATGAGCAGCAGTGGTCACATGCATTGAATTGTGAAGAATGACCTCATGTTATGACATGAGAAGAAGTGATCACGTGCTACGACATGCGTAGAACTGACCACATCATCTGTGACATTACTAGTAGTAACCGGAAGGCTGTGACATGGGCAGCAGTGAATACATGATTTTCAATGAGTGGCAGTGACCATGTACTGTGACATGAGCGGTTTGGGTATGCCCCACATGAAGAGCAATGAGCAGCAGCGACCACATGCCGTGCGATGAGCAGCAGCGACCACATGCCGTGCGATCGCCAATCACTGGTGACCACTGTCCCTGTGACTGCACATGGCAGTTGTTAAATATGACAGTGGCAGGTCGCTTCTCTGCATGTCGTGAAACAACAGCTGCATGGATGCATGTTATTGCGACAGCTGCAGATCACTCGACTATTGCAAAGACCGGTGCTGCAATCCGCTACATTCGTGCTGGGAGAGAAGTGCTATGCCTGTTGCTGCCCATGTAACCACCTGGGTTGGGATCGTGCAGCAGTAAATCCGATAGCTGTGTGTGACATTGCTTTACGAGGCCCGTCGTGTCACTGTGCATGCTTTACCCTAATCCCTTTGACGCCCTCTTACATGTTCTGTATTTGCGTTGCTTGTTGTGATCCCCGTCGCCCTCTAACCGGCGAGTCCCTTTCCCAGCATGATTCGCGTTTACTCACACGCTAGTAAACCGTTGTAAGCCGCCAGGCTTAGGGGCAGTGAAGCTGTTGGGAGCTACTAAAACTCTACCTCCAAATTACATTGGCTGCATGGCTGTTTCCGGATGACGCGAGCATACTACCATTCCGTCCTTCCTTCGCTAACGAGAGCGTATGCTTGCCTGAGAACGACCCCTCTCATTTTCACCAATGGGCCACGAGTCTCACATCTATTACGAACGTTCAGCGTAAACTTTGCCTTGAGCGCTTGAATGCTGACGTCTCCTGCGACGCGGTACAATGGTACGGCGACGTGCTTTGTTGTTGTATCACCCTGCCAAAGTGCGTGCATGGTTGGTAGTCGAGGGACCTACCTGTGCTCCCTTGTTACATCAGGCTCGTATTTTCACGTGGCTGACGCGTTCGCGTCAGGTGTGCAGGGGTCGCCCTCTCCCTACCTACCTGCTGCCGTCGCGCTCAACTAGCATTCTTTACCAAGCGTAATACGTCCCTCTTTCGTGTGTTTGTTCTCTCCCCGTTTGTTGTGTTGGTGCTTCCACAATCTTCTTGCTAGGGTGTATTTTCAGGGGACTGATTGGCTGCGATGCCACCTCTTTCCGAGTCGCGTGCATTTTGCTCACATCTACGCACGTGGCTTCGCTTTCTTGCCCCCTACACCCCCCAACCGAGTGGTGCAGTGTCGCACAGGTGGGTGACGAGTGCAGAAGCTCGTCGCGGCCTGGTTTCGCTTTCGCTCCTGTTCAGTTGCCGAAATACATTGGTTTAGCTTTTCGCGACCACATTTAAAGCCCTGAGGTCACTGTAGCAAAAACCATGCTGACCTCAGGCTTTTGACGCGCGCGGCTTGCAATTTGGGTCAACGACTTTAATCTCCCGCCTTGAACATGAGCACATAAACACACCCTCCTGTCCCCCCCTTATAGGTATTTCTTATTGACCCAACACATCGTGCCATCGAACACACCTTAGTGTTTTTTACCAACTGCTTATTGAGCGCGGTCTTCTGTGACATCATTGCAGGTTGCTGTGCTGACTTCAACAGTTTTGTACAATGCTCCCTAAATCATAACACAGTATGTAATCAAAGCAGTTTGGTTACAAGTAAAAGCATAGAGGCAATCAATCCATGCATGGTACCATCTAAGCAATGTACTTTGGGTCAAGTGTGCAGCCAACTTCTTATAGGCGACGCGGGAAATGTGACGGTGCTGGCAGGTGACGAGGAGGATAGGCGAGCGAGGAAAGGGTGCACGCAGCAGGTCGCCTTTCCTGGACACAGCGCCCCAAACCTGAGGGGATGGTGGCAAGGAGGGATGGGGAGAGAAGGGATGCTGAGAGGAGGGCGGGAGGGTAAGCAAGGGAAGGGAGCGAAAGGAGGGGATGCAGTCGCGGAAAGGAGGGGAAGCAAGGGGGGGAAAGGAGAGGAAGCAAAGGGGGGGAAAGGAGGGGAAGCAGTGGGGGAAAGGAGGGGAAGAAGTGGGGGAAACCGGGGGAAGGAGGGGAGGAAAGGAGGGGATTCAGCGGGGGAAAGCAGGGGAAGCACGGGGGGGAAAGGCGAGGCAGAGAAGTTGGGGAAAGGAGGGGAAGCAGTGGGGGAAACGGGGGGAAGGAGGGGAGGAAAGGAGGGGAAGCAAGGGGGGGAAAGGAGAGAAAGCAAGGGGGGGAAAGGTGGGGATGCAGGGGGGGAAAGGTGGGGATGCAGGGGGGGAAAGGTGGGGATGCAGGGGGGGAAAAGTGGGGGAGGGGGGGGGAAGGTGGGGATGCAGGGGGGGAAAGGTGGGGATGCAGGGGGGGGAAGGTGGGGATGCAGGGGGGGAAAGGTGGTGATGCAGGGGGGGAACGGTGGGGATGCAGGGGGGGGAAGGTGGGGATGCAGGGGGGGAAAGGTGGGGATGCAGGGGGGGAAAGGTGGGGATGCAGGGGGGGAAAGGTGGGGATGCAGGGGGGGTATGAGTTCAAGCGTGTGGAGGCCTTACGAATTTCGTGTATTGGAGAAATCCGTGAGGCGAGCAGCGCGTTACTGGTGGCTGCAGTAGGATGGCTGGCAGGCGCGCTCTTTTGGATAGCATTTCGCTGGAGCGCGCGTGCGTGCAACCGAGTGCTGTATGCTGGCGCATCTAAGCGTCACATGCGCTCGCTGTGCTGGCGCGCGCGCTATGCAGGAGCGTGCCGCTTTGCTGCGCGCGTTTTGCTGGCGCGCGCAGCTCTGCTGAGCGCGCTATGCTAGCGCGCGCGGAATGCCAGCCTAGAGCGCGCAAGCGCCGCGCGCGGAATGGCAGCGTAGCTGGCGCAAGTCCAGCTCGCGGAATGCAAGCATAGCTGGCGCCTGTGACGCGCGCGGAATGCCAGCATAGCTGACACGCACGACGCACACGGAGTGCCACCATAGCTGGCGCCAGTGACGCTCGCAAGCGTCGCCTGTTCTGCACATGGCTAAATACTCACCCGCGTCTACGTATGTGGTCGCGCTGCTGGTCTAGCACCCTCCGGCCCGTGCCTAGGTTGTTTGTACCTAAACTATTAGGTCATTCTCTGTAGTGTGTGATGCGGAAGGTGAGTTTGGTGACGGGAGGGCTTTCCCATTTTGTGACTGACAACCAACCTAACCCTGCTTCTTTCGCCAACACACTCGCCTGGAATACTGTACAGAAACAACAGTGCTGCCAAATGTATACTGCTGTTTAACACCTGGGCCCTGATCTGTGGCCCCTTAACTCAGAGTTAACTGGTTTCGAGGGGGTTTCATTAACTCAAACCTCACACGTGTGTACGTTACAATCACACCGTGCCAGCTAACTCTGAGTTAGCAAATAAGGGCCACGTCTACGCAAAGTAACAAATCAGGGTACGCTCCGTAGGAAGCTTGCGGGGAATCTTCTTTCACGGGCAAACTAACTCAGAGTTAGTGCTCTCGCTTACTTGGCTTTTGGGGTGAAACTCAATACACTACTCAGAGCGCGATTCGAGCAGGGTAAACCTAGTATAACATCAATTTGGTAAAATTTCTGACACATTCACCCCGCCCAACTAACTCCCACCAATCTTATTTTTATTTTTTTGCCATCCTGCCGTAAATGTTTTGTTTTATGCGATCGGGGTTGTTAGGGCGCATCCTGAAACACTTTACGATAGAGCTCTCGAGAACCTCCACGCAACTTCCTTAACTCGGAGTTACGAGGGACCACAGATCACCCACGTGAGTTACTACTCAACATTCACACGAGCGTAATGATGCCTTGTCGGTGTACTCATCCGAGCCTACACGGCTCGGTAACTCAGAGTTAGCTAACTCTGAGTTAGGGACACAGATCAGGGCCCTGGATTTCTGTTCGTTTTCATCTCGGTGTAGCTGTGACAAGTTCAGAGCGTGTCCGAAGTGAAGCGTCGAATGGATGTCGATGGATGTCGGTAAATTTCAACCCTCGGATCGAAAGTTCCAACCGTCAAGATTTACCGACATCGGATGTCAACGGATGTCGACCTCACTTCGGACCCGCCCTTACGGACTGTTTTCTTGGAGCGGGGGAGAAAGTGCGCTGCACTGTTCTTTCCTTGGCGTTTACTCGGCACATTTCCGACTTTGTCAGGTTGCAGCAGCACGACGGACGACCGCGATTCCTTCATCGAAATGTACGGCTCCTGACCTTCGCGATTGAATTTCGCGTCAGCAGCTTCCCTCCAAAATCGCGTCAGCCTTCGACCGTCAGATCCACATCCGCTTGATCTACGGCCCCCATTCCAACTTCTACTTCATTTTGGGCCAGTTCATCCGCAGCCATCAGATCGAAATCTGACTACATCGACGGCCTACATTCCAACCTTTTCAAAAATATTGTCAAAGGCATTTCGGCCGTCGGATTCAGCTGAAGGGGAGATCCAAGGTATCCTTGCTAGTGTGGGGTCCGTTTTCAGTACAGGGCTGCCTTATTTAGAAGGTGGGAGAGTGTAAGGAATTACAGAATCCTTACTGAGGCACTCTTTAGCGAGGAAATCCCGAGGGTCACGCGACGAACCTGTCCTTTCTATTTCGTCGCACCGAACCACTCCCGAGTCGCCTCCGCACCAATCGCAACCATCACCGAGCCATCCTCGCCCAACCTCCCTGCCTAGCTAGGGTCCCCTACTTAGGCCTCGTCACTTCCATAGTATCGTCATTCAGTACTCAATTATTCTCGATATTCGTTTTACTGCGCACTCAGCAAGTTCATTCATAACAACCTCCAATGTTCGCGTAAACGGTTGACTCAAAAGATGGTGCTGACCAATGACAATCACGCAGTTTGTCGTCGGCCAATACGACCTGGTAACCGCATTGTTGCGCGACGTTCAATCTGAACCTTCACTGACCTGCCACTCGGTTCCCAACACCGAACGAACCTAGCGAGAAGCGCGCTTCGTTCTTGGGCAGTACGGAACGGCGTATCACCGCATGAGCAACTGCCATGGAGGTGTCGCGCGCCATCGCTCTCAACAACGCCCCGCCGCCTCCCTCCTTGCATCTCGCGCCGCTGCAGCGGCGAGCAGCGTTGGATGCGGCGGGCCGCGGCAGAAGTAGCGGGTGAGTTGGCATGCGCGCGAGCAGGGCGTGAATGGCAGTGCAGCAGTGGTGAGCGTGCAGTGGCAAGGCCTCACTCCGCCACTGCACGCGCCGCCGCCGCTCATTCTCTCCCTCTCGCTGAACCTCGTTCTCCCACCGTTCCGCAGCCCCCCTCTCCCCCCTCCACCACCTTCCCCGCAGCGCCCCTTCCCTCTCCTCCCGCATCTTCCGTTCTTCTCCGCCCCTCGTCGGGTCATCCGCTCGCCTCGCTCTCACGGCCCACCCACCCACCGCCCGCTCCCTCTCCACCGCTCTCATAATCCCTTACCCCTCCTCCTTCCCGCTTTCCCCCATTCTTCCCGCTTTCCCCCATTCTTCCCGCTTTCCCCATTCTTCCCGCTTTCCCCATTCTTCCCGCTTTCCCCCATTCTTCCCGCTTTCCCCATTCTTCCCGCTTTCCCGTTCTTCCCGCTTTCCCCATTCTTCCCGCTTTCCCCATTCTTCCCGCTTTCCCCATTCTTCCCGCTTTCCCCATTCTTCCCGCCCAATCAACCTCCAGCCTTCCGTCTCTTTCCTCTCGCCCTCTCCGCACCTCACTCTGCGCCTCCCGCCCACGTCTTCCTGTGCGCCCCGCCCTGGGGGAATGCCGCGCCTCAGGGCCAAGGGGGAGCGGAGGGGCGCAGCCAGGGGAAGAGCGTCCGTGGGGGGCACAGCAGGCGGAGGGGGAGAAGGAAGGGGCTCGTGTTGGGGGAGGGAGGCGAGAAGGGGTGGTGGTGAAGGCAAGGGGGGGTGGGGCTGGAGATGGGGGTGCGGGAGCGGGGCAGGATAACGATGGGTTGGATGCGGTGCTGGCGAAGGTCGTGTGGGCTGGCTTTGGCCTGTACATGCTGTGGCTCTTCGTGCTGCCATTCGCTCCTGTGAGCCCTTCTCTTCTGCCCATTCCTACAACTAGTGTACCCTCGTGCCACAACACCCAGCACCGCCACATGCTGCTCCCTCACCCCATCGTCTCCCTTGCTCACGTCTCTCACCCTCGCACTCCCTCCGCGCCATGCATCAATGAACCGCTCCTCTTCTCCCCTCTCGCGCCCCTCTTTTCCCCTCTGGCTGCGTGGAGTGGATGTGCGGCATGGCAGGGCGACCCGGCGTGGAGGATAAGTGAGGGCACGGTGCAGGAGGTGAGGGACCTCTCGCTCAACTTCTTCTACATCCTGCCCGCCCTCAACGCCGGTGAGCCCTCAACGCCGGTGAGCTGTGGTGGGTGCAGTGGGCATTGCGTTGTTGGTGGTGCTTCGTCTCTTGGCCTTACCTCCAGCACAACAGCATTTGCCAATCACCCCTTACGTTTGCCACTCGTTTCTCTCTCTCCCATATTTTTCTCCGTCTCTTCCTCTCTCCCTGCAACCCCAACTTTCATGCCTGATTTTCCTGCAGCGGGCATTCATGTGCTGGAGGCACCGCAACTGCACCCTGTCAGTCCCACTTCTCTCTACCCAAGCCCACCCGTCCTTCCTCTCGCTCATCACCCTCACTGCCCCCCTCTCTTTTTCTCTCTTCCCCAACCTTCGCCCTAACTCTCTCTGTTCCGTTTTATACTCCCTCCCTCTTTCTCCTGGCGTTCTCTTTCTCTGTCTGCTTCCACGCCGTGCCTTCCAATCTGTTGCCCCTGCATCCACCACATGCAACCAGTGGCACCACACCACAATCTCCACGGCCCTTTCCTTTTATGCCATTGTGCGCACATCGTCTACCCGCACTGCCCAACATATCCGCCCACTCCACCCTGCTCTCATCCCCACGAGCACCTCTTGGCCCGTCGGCCGGCCTCGCTGCACCGGATTGCCTCTAAGCGCGTGCACCCATGACCCTTCCCCCTCGCGGGGAGCGGGCACCAGGTGGCGGAGGCGCTGTTCAACGTGGTCAACGCCTGGAGCCTGCTCTTCGGTCCGCTGCTGCTCGCCGACCCCAGGCGCACCCGCGTGGGCGCCAACCTGCCCGCGCTCTGGCTGGGCCAGATGTTCCTCACTAACGGTGCGCTGCAGGGGCACGTGCGCCAGGTGCTGGGTGGAGGGGGATGAGGGCAGGAAACACCAGGTGGTGGGGGAAGGGGGAAGGGAGAGGGAGGGGACGAGAGGAATCCAGCACCTCGCTTCTAGGCATTTCCTTTCCTCATGCATCCCTCATTCCATTCTTCTCCTCACCTCTTTCCCATGCGCCCCCCTCCTCACTCCTCTCCCCCCAACCCTACCTGCACCACCCCCCTTCCCAAACCCCCTCCCCCCCCCCCAGTGTTCCTCATCCCCATCATGGCCCTGCGCCTGCGCCCACCACCCCCGCCCCACTCCGCCACGCCCCTGCGTCCTGCCGCGATCGCCACCTTCCTCTCCTCTGCACCGCTGCCCATCGCCCTCGTCTCCTCCACCGTCGCCCTCGCATCGCTCTTCTGGGCGGCCCTCGCCCGCCCCGATTTCGCCCCTCCAGACCTCACAGTACGCGCAGCCTTCCTCGCAGACTACCTGGGCAGCAACCGCCTGGCGTACGCGTTCGCATGGGACGTGCTGCTCTACTCGCTCTTCCAGCCCTGGCTCATTGCGGATTGCCTCTCCGCCCTGCGCCGCTCACGGCCAGCAGAGGCAGCACGTGGGGATGAGGGGGGAACGACGTCTCGGGATTATGATGCGCTGCTGGCGCTGCTGCAGTGGGTGCGGTTTGTGCCGCTGTTTGGGCTCGCTGCGTTCCTCTGTGCGCTGCCACGGCTGAGAGCCACCAGTGAATCGCAAGGGCAGGAGTGAGCGCAGGGGTTGGGGTGCTTGTAGGTGGGGGATGGGAGGGGTGGTGGTGGGTGGGAGGAGCAACGGCGCGATGTATGTGCTGGTGGCAGCAGCAGGGTGTTGAAGTTGTGCTGGTGGTTGTGGTGTGGGGTGGAGATCAGGTGTGCGTATGATGTTGCACCAACTTTAATTGCAACACCTTCGAGGTGGCAGGAACCAGTATCGGTATGACAGCACGGCTTAGCAGAGTGAAGTGAGTCACGACCTGGATTAGTAAAGGGCCACTTGGCCAACCACATTGGTTGGACTGTGGACCACAAGTGTGCCTGACACCCTTGTCCAAAGGCTGGTTCTTCCACTGCTGTTCCTTTACGGGGTTCAAATTGGCAATGTACCATGGGCGCCAGGCAGTGTACTTGGCCGTCATCCAAATGTTCAAATCAAACTACCAGTACATGGCTGGCTGGGACACACGCAACTGAACCCAAATGGAAATGACAGGCTGTACAATGATAACTGCTGTAGTCTATCATGCAACTTGTTAAACAGCTGTTCCTGCTTGAGCACACAGCAACGCAAGTTACCCTAAACCTAACAGCAAGCACAAAGGTGGTGGGGGGCACATGCTGGAGAGAAGGCAGGCAGCACCTGCAGCACCCATGTGAACCGTGCGGTGCAGTGCGGTGCCTTTCTCCAACAGCTGTGTGGCGCAAGAAGGCCCTCTTGACGTGCATGGGTGCAAGCAGCAAGGCACGGGTGTGTGGCGCAACTGTGAGCAACGCGCCCTTGAAGCCGGGCTCACCATGTGCCGTGCCTGTGTGTGTCTGTGCATGCCGTGGCAGCAAGGCGGGGTCGGGCAGGCTCCGGGCCCACGGGCCTTGAGCAGACCGCCGTCATATCGCCCTCTGCGCTCAACCCCCTGCTGCGCCACCCCCTGGTAGACCAACACCCTTGTCACAGTGGGTGTCTACCAGGTGGGATCAGCAGCCCACGCGTGTGCTGCACACCCGCTGCATCTTCCACCACACCTCCGTTACAACCCCTCTCTCTCTCTCTCTCTCGTTCTATTCCACTCCCTGCCTGCACGTGCACACCACGCATGACAGCTCATGTGTGTGCACGGCGTGCAGCAGTGCTAGGCAAGAGAGGGCGCGAGGGGGGGGAGGAGGAGTGGGGAAGAAAGCAGCGGGCGCTTAGCCTCAGCAGCCGGTCTTGTAGGGGCTGAGGCCGGAGCGGCGGGTGATGCGCAGGGAGGTGAACTCCTCGCTCATGGTGGGGTGGATGCCCACCGTGGCATCAAAGTCCGCCTTGCACGCCCCCATGCGCATCGCCACCGCGTACCCCTGCCGTGTGAAACGAGGGAGGAGGCGGGAGTTGGGTGGTGAGTGCAGGGGGGTTGCAGGGCAGGTGCAGACAAGGTTCCAGGGGCGCCGGGTACGGAAAGTAACGGGGTGAGAGAGGACTTTCATGCGCCTGCCAACAATATGCCACGTCTCTCAGTGTTAGGCTGGGCCAGGCACGCAGTGTGAGGAGTGGTGTAGTGGCATCGCAAGCAAGGCGGTTAGCAGTGAGGTGACAGTTGAGCGAGTAGCAGCACACAAGGTGCCCCGCATATCACAATCCGCCAAGTACTTGGCACCAGTCTCTGCCAATCTCTACCACCCTTCCTCAATGTCAGATCCCCCCAACCTCCCCCCACCCCCCTTCCACTGCACTCCTCTTAACCCCTCGCCCTGTTGCCCTTGACCCAGCGCACCTGAGTGATTTCCCCCGCGTTGGGTCCCACGACGTGCAGCCCCAGCACGCGGTCGCTGTCCAGCTTGTTGCACACCAGCTGCTCCCACGCACGGCTCACACACACACACACAGCCATGCACACACGCATTGGGAGAGCAATGCAGAAATGGGTTCGTTGAACTGAGGAGCGAACGTGCAAAACACTCTCGCACAGAGCACCACAAGGACGCAGGAGCAGCATCACAGTGAAGCAGCTGCCATCGCCCTGACCCTGCGATTCAGCTGCCCCTAACTCCCGCACCGCACATCCCCCCACCCCACGATTGCGCCTGACCCAGCAGCGAGCGCCGTGCAAGAATGGCGTGTGGTGTGTGGTGATGGGCGCGCACCTTGGCATAGCACACGTTGTCCTCGCGGTGCGACACGCCGTTGCTCTCCTCGTGGTTCACCTGCCACTCCAACGGCTTGAAGTACGAATGGTACACCTGCCATGTCGTGCCATGCCGCAGGGGGTGGGGTGGGGTGGGGTGGAGTGGAGTGGAGTGGGGTGCGTTGCAGATGAGGATGAGGCTTGGCATCAAAGCAGCAGGGATGGGCAGCAGGGACAGTGTGTGCAGGCGAGGGTGATGTGAATGAGTGGGATGTGCACAGCAGGGCGTGGTAGGAGAGGAAGTTGAAGTACAAAAATGCAGACAATACACACTAGCCATGTGCCATGCCATAGCAGGATCTCTAGAGGAATCAATATGCAACTGGATCAGAACAGGAATGCGTAAGACAGCGTGCACTGGCGGAAAAGAAAAACATGCAGTAAGCAGTGCACTGCGGGGCATGGCATGGCAGGGCAGGGCATGGCAGGGCACGGCAGGGCATGGGTGGAATGGGCAATGGCGGGAGGGGCGGGGACCTCGATGTTGTCGGGGCCATAGGTGGCGATGGCGAGCTCCTCCGCCATGCCTATGCACCCGTACTCCAATGGCGTGAACACCGTTGTTGGTACCTGCCAGGCCATGTGCCATGCACACACGCACCAACACCCACACCCACACCATGACACCCCCAAAACCCCCCACCCCACCACACCACAACCCCAGCCTCCCTCCACTCTCACACAGCACAGCACACAGCATGCAACTCACACATTCATTCATGCAGGCGTGAGAAGAGGTGTGGGGAAACAAAGTGGTGTGTGCAGAGTGAGGCGAGTGGAGGTTTGAGGCGGCTGCCATAGCTCACTACTGCACACCAACCCACACACACAGAGCATCAATGCACCGCCCACCCATCCATCCCAGCCTCGGCTCTAAACAGCCCACATACCCTCCCCGTTTCCCAGTCACCGCTCTCCATCCCCTCGCATCAACCCCAACCCTCTGCACACATAATCCCTTTCTCCTCCTTATCCCCCCCCCCCTCCCCCCCTCCCATTTCTTCCCCCTCTTCCCCCGTGTGCCCCCCCCACCAGGTTGTAGTCCATGCGCTGCGCGCTGCCGGCGAAGAGGCGGTGGGCCAGCAGCTGGCCCGCCTTGATGGCGACGGGGGTGAGCTCCTGCCGCGTGTCCAGCACGTCCCCTATCGCGTAGATGTGCGCTGCCGACGTCTGTGTGCGCGCCCGCATGGGCAGCACGCATGCAGGCATGCATGTAGGCAGGAAGGCATGTAGGCAGGCAGGCATGTAGGCAGGCAGGCATGTAGGCAGGCAGGCATGTAGGCAGGCAGGCATGTAGGCAGGCAGGCATGTAGGCAGGAAGGCATGTAGGCAGGCAGGCATGTAGGCAGGCAGGCATGTAGGCAGGCAGGCATGTAGGCAGGCAGGCATGTAGGCAGGCAGGCATGTAGGCAGGCAGGCATGTAGGCAGGCAGGCATGTAGGCAGGCAGGCATGTAGGCAGGCAGGCATGTAGGCAGGCAGGCATGTAGGCAGGCAGGCATGTAGGCAGGAAGGCATGTAGGCAGGCAGGCATGTAGGCAGGCAGGCATGTAGGCAGGCAGGCATGTAGGCAGGCAGGCATGTAGGCAGGCAGGCATGTAGGCAGGCAGGCATGTAGGCAGGCAGGCATGTAGGCAGGCAGGCATGTAGGCAGGCAGGCATGTAGGCGGGCAAGGCATGAAGGCGGGCAAGGCACATGCAGGGAGAGCCAGAGACAGAGCAGGGGGAGGGGAGGGGAAAGAGGACGGGAAGGGGCAGGAACAGAAAGAGGAGGAACGGTGAAAGAGTGAGGTGGAGAGCAGGGAGGCCGTGGGAATGTGTTGATAGCCATGGCAAGCACGAGGGGAGAGGGTGGAAGGCGACGCACACAAGCAGCACAAGCACATGCTCACTCGCATACACCCCTCAATCCTTATTCCCAACCCACTCTGCTTCACTCCCCAGCTCCCGCTCTCCCACTCTCCCTACTCCCTTTCCCTTTCCCTCTCCCTCTCCCCCGGTCGACAGCTCTCCAGTGCCATGGCGCCATGGCCCCCCACCTGCTCGTCCGGTGCGATGATCTTGCCCGTGAGGGGGTTCACGTCCACCCCTGCTGCTGCCAGGTTCTGATGCCACACACGCACACGCACACGCACCACGTACACACACACGACACATGAGAAACGGGGGCAGAAACACAGAAACTTTAGCAGCCATTTGATGGTTTGGGATACGGAAAAAGCATGGAGTGGGCTCCGTTGAAAACGGAGAGACGCCGGGAAACGAAAGCTAGTGATAAAACCGAAAACGGAGGACGAGGGAGAACGGTTGTGGGTGGGGAAGGGAGGGGGGAGGGCGGTGGTGGAACGGGGGAAGAGGAAGAGAGAGCCACGGGGGACAAGATGGGCGCACGGGGCGAGGGGCAGGCCACGCGGCAAGGACGAGCAAAGGGCAGTGCGGACGAGGAGGCATGTGCGTGAGGAGATGCGGGGAAGGGGGATGGGCAGCCGCAGCGCACGAGTTCTTGAGTTTGGGCGTCGCGGCCCACTGCGATGACGACTGTGTCAAACTCCTCCCTGCCCTCCGCTCCCGTGTCCATGCGCTTGTACGTCACTGCCACCTGCTCTCATACACACACACAGGAGGCAGGGCGCGACGGATGCACGCACCGACAGATCAAGCGAGAGCGGGAGGGAGGGAGGGAGGGAGGGAGGGAGGGAGGGAGGGAGGGAGGGAGGGAGGGAGGGAGGGAGGGAGGGAGGGAGGGAGGGAGGGAGGGAGGGAGGGAGGGAGGGCGTGAGGAAGGGAGGGAGGGCGTGAGGGAGGGAGGGAGGGCGTGAGGGAGGGAGGGAGGGAGGGAGGGAGGGAGGGAGGGAGGGAGGGAGGGAGGGAGGGAGGGAGGGAGGGAGGGAGGGAGGGAGGGAGGGAGGGAGGGAGGGCGTGAGGGAGGGAGGGAGGGCGTGAGGGAGGGAGGGAGGGCGTGAGGGCGTGAGGGAGGGAGGGAGGGAGGGAGGGAGGGAGGGAGGGAGGGAGGGAGGGAGGGAGGGAGGGAGGGAGGGAGGGAGGGAGGGAGGGAGGGAGGGAGGGAGGGAGGGAGGGAGAGAGGGAGGGAGGGAGGGAGGGAGGGAGGGAGGGAGGGAGGGAGGGAGGGAGGGAGGGAGGGAGGAGGAGAGATGAAAGGAGGGGTGATACAGAGATGAGGGGAACGGCGGCAGGTAGAGTGCGGTGGCATGTGAGCGCAAGGGGCATGCACGCAGCACCAAGAGTGAGGGCGTGGGTGCACAGCAGCGGGCATGGTCCGTCACCTCCATGTGCATACCATGCCCCCATACAGTCTCTGCCCGCCCACCCAAACAACCACACATCCCTCCAGCCAGTCCCCTCTCTCATCCCCCTCCTCCCAGCCTTCACAACTGCGTGCCTCCACACCCAGCTAGGCAATGAACAACCCTCTGTGCCAATCTGCCTCTCTCCTCCCTCCCCCATCATTCCTTCCCCCACCTCCACCCACCTTGCCATCAGCAGTGCGGTCGAATTGGGTGGGCACAGCGGGGCGAATGAAGGAGACGCCGTGCCGCTCCATGTACAGCCCTATGTGCTCCGCCACTTCCTGCCACCGGGGAGGAGGGGGCGGTGGGCGTAGGAGGGGTGGGTGGGGAAAGCGCAAGGGAACGGAAGGGGAAAGGGATAAGGCGGGAGGAGGGATGAAGGAGGTGGTGGGTCTTATTACGGCAAGAGGCACACAGCGGAATCCACGCCAGGCGCCCATAAGCACAGCCTCTGCCCTCAAGGGGCTGCGTACTCCCTCCTCCTTTTCCTCCCAGCTCTAACAAGAACAACACCGCCAGCTCTAGCACCTGCGCCGCTGGCGGCGATGGTGGCAGCGGCAGCAGGATCGCAGAAGTTATCCGCAGGGGAGTAGGGCGGCAGGGCAGCAGGGGTTGACCTGGTCGAAGCCGCGCAGGAGGATGGAGCGCGGCATGACGGAGACGGGGAAGCCCAGCCCCGCCAGGAAGCCCGCCGTCTCCAGCGCGATGTAGCTCGCCCCCACGCACAGCGTCTTCCCCGGCGCGCGCTGCAGTGAAAAGATGTCGTCGCTGCAGGGGAGGCAGGAGGTGTGCACGTGGGTGGGTGAGGGGAGGGGGGAGAGTGGAGAGGGTGACGGGAGAATGGGGGAAAGGGGAAATAAAGGGGAGGGAAAGGGCGGAGGGAAGAGGGGAAAGGGAAACGTGGAGAAGAGAGGAGAGGAGAGAAGGGAGAGGGGGGGGGAGAGATGGGATGGCAGGGAGATGGGAGACAGGCAGCACAGCACAGTGGAGGGCAGGAGAAGGGCAGGGAGGCACAACGGGTCAGGAGATGAGATGGGAAGCAGCAACACAGAGACGCGGCCGGGATGTTATCAACTTGAGTTGGCAGCCTCACGCCCCCAACAGCCACACTGCACGACCCATAGCGGCACATGCATGCCCCCCCGCCCACCTGGTGATGCAGAGGTCCTTATCCCCCGGCACGCCCAGGTACCGCGGGCGCCCCCCCACTGCTATCACAAAGCGCTCCGCTGTCATGCGCGACACCTGGGGGCAGCGGCAGTGGCAGGGGCAGGGAGTGGGACAGGAGCGGGAAGGGAGGAACAAGGCAGGGCGGGGGGAAGGGGAGGGCGAGGGGGTGGTGTTGGAGGGCATGGGCAATGGCGGTACAGTGGTGGTGCACCGTGCCCCACACCCGTGATGGGCCTGCCACCACGTGCCATGCACGCGCCACAGCTGCTGACATTTCACCAGTGAACGCACCATAAATCAGCTTTATTACAACAGCCTTTTGCCCCTGAATATGATGGAAATCAATTGTTATTAATACTAACCATCCAAGCTCCTAACAACTTTTATGATAACATCAATGGCAGGCAGAGGTGGGGCTGGGGTGGGAGGAGGGGAGACAGTGGGAAGGAAGTGCAGCAGGGAGGGGTGGGTAGGAAGGATGCTGGGCGCATGGCAGTGGCGACGAGCGCAGGCGAGACACCATCCCCAACCATACCCCCCCACTCACATAACATTCCCTCCCCCTGCATGCACGCAACCCCCTCTCCGCCCAATCCCCTCACTCCCCCCACTCCCCATTCCCCACTCCCCGCTCTCCCCCCTTATCCTCCCCGGGTGACAGCACAGCACCTGGCCGGCGCGAGTGGTGCATTCGAGCGTGTGCGGGTCCACGAAGCGCCCCAGGGCGTTGACGTACGTGACCTTGGCGTCGCGCAGCGCCACGCGGTACCCCCAGTTCAGCGACCCGATGTGGTCCCCCACGCCCTGCACCAGCGCCGCCCTGCCCGCCCCGCGTGCCCCGCACGGACGAGGGGAGTGCGGGGAGGGAAGGGAGCGTTAGGCGGTGGGGTTGGGGGGCGATGGGAAAGGGGGAAGAAGACGAGGGGTTGGATGGAGCAGAGCAGCTTGAAGGGAAAGGAAATCCGACGGGCGCCAAGGGGGGATGGAGCAAAGGAGCACCAGAAGAGGCATAGACTGGGGGAAATGGGGGAGGGGGATCAAGGCGGAGGAATGAGCGGACGCGAGAGCGCAAGGGGTTCATGAAGAGCAGTGGCGGTGGCAATCAATGGCGGGCGGCAGGCGGCAGGAGTGGTTATAGCTCACCAGTCGAACTTGACATCGCGTGGGAGGTCCCATCCGAAGGCGCGCGCGTCAGAGAAGGACTCGCCCAACAGCGCTGCTTGATGCATGAGCTTCTTGGGTATGCACCCCACGTTCACACACGTGCCTGCTCGCATGCACGCATGCACACGCACATGCACATGCACACGCACATGCACATGCATACGCACATGCACATGCACACGCACATGCACATGCACATGCACACGCACATGCACATGCATACGCACAGCCATGCCCAATCACAAACACACATCCGCGCACACACCGGCAAAGGTACACAACACACACACACACATGCACACATGCACACATGCACAAAGATATACGTGTGCACGCAGACGCCCATGTGCACACGCACGCACACACGCGCGCACGCGCGCACGCACATACGCACACACGCACATGCAGCAGCACCAGAAGAGGGCGTTGAGCGGAGGGGCTCGCCGAGTCATCTGGAGGGAGGAGTTGCCCAAGTGAGGAGCAACGGCAGCAAGGGCAGGAGCAAGAGCAGCGCGCGTTACCTCCAAGGCCCCACTGTGTGCCACTCGGCGTTGGCTTCACGAAGTCAAGACATGCAACCTGCTCACACGCGCGCACCACACGAGAAAAACATGCACTATTAGCCCCTGCTTGCCGTGGGACGCAGCAACCACGGAAAAGGGAAAACGCCAACGCGACATGGATCCGCGCGCGGGTCGACGCGCGCTAGCAGCAGCGACGCCAACCGCGCGAAGCGAAGGGGCGCGCGCACCTTCTTGCCGAGCTTCGCCGCCTCCTTGGAGCACGCGAGGCCGCCCGAACCCCCGCCGATGACCACCAGATCGTAGTCGTACGCCACCTCGCCGTCCGCAGCCGGTGGCGCGCCTGAGGGGGGAGAGGTGGGACGCGGAAGAAGGCGCAGATGAGAGGGAGCATAAGATGCGCGCTCCGTGGCAGGCGGGAATCGGAAAAGCGGGGAGCCGTCGCGTTGAGACGGGGCACGGTGGTCGCATGACGATCGATGATTAAGCGGGTCCCTCCTATCCTATCCGTGAGTGGAGAGTGAAAGCCGAGTCACGACCGGCAACCAACGTCAAATACCGGAGAGACTCACCTTGCGCCGCCATGGCGAGACGAGTGGCTGCTATGGAACGCGCGCCGTGTGGAGGAAACGGAGCGAGAGCGGCCCCACCCAACCGAGGCGCGAGGCCCGGAAGGATGCGGCTGAGACGACGCCACGCGGTGGCCGACGTGATGGCGGTCGTGCTTAGGGCGGTGATAGCGGCCGCTGTGGTTGTGGTGGTTCGGATGAATGGATGCTGCCTCACCTGAGCCCTTGCTGCTTGTACCGTGAATGGATTGCAACTACACCCTCATATCCGACAAAGACACACCACTGGTGCACACGGCATGCGACTACACCCCACAGCATACCAATGGCATAGACTTCTAGTTTTGTTTTCCCCAACCCATGAAGCACACTGCATTTACGGTACCCATCCGAACCCGAAGCATGCAAACTACCTTTTGCAAGATAGACTAAGAAAGCTTTCACAATTACAATTTTGTAATGATGTTCGCTGCGCCAAATTATACAAAAAAAAAAAAAACAACAATAACCAGCACAGAACATTGGAATACTGCCCAGCCCATGCTTTAGAGGATGCATCAGTTGAATCGCGTCCCATTATTTTACCCCCATTACGGTAAGTATCCGGGCTAATATGGTACAAGTACACATTCAAATTTTGGGGCCCAACCACAGAGGCCTGGGCCAAGGGTCTAGCTGCACGTGGACCAGCAGGCCGGCCCGGAGCTGGCCCGTCTTGACCCCACAAGTCCCCAGCCCGGTCCGCTTCAAGCACTTTTCCCTGCCCTGCCCCTGCTCATGTGGAGCGTTGAGGGATGCATGTGGCAGGCGCCGTGCCTGCTGTGAACCCTTCATAGCACGCACACTGGAGACCGGTCTGCTCAAACACCCAGTAGCACACGCCATGGCCGCTGCAGTACGGGACATCGGGACTGGTCCCACAGAGGGACTCGCACTCGCTGCTGCTCCTCTGCGTCTGCCCCGTGCCACACAGCACGGAGGTGTTGCTGAGGCAGTTGTACTCTAGGTAGAGGCGCAGGTTGCTCGCGGTGCAGAGGCGGTGGATGTTGGCAAGAGATGCGTCAGCAGTGCCTGTGAGGAAGTTGTACCCGGCATCGATGTGCCGCACTGACTTCATCAGCTTCAGCGACGGCAAGCTCCCCACCAGCTGGTTGGATTTCAGATCGCTGCGGGACGTGGGGTGGGGGAGGAGAAGTGTGACGCTCATTAACAACAGCTGGCTGTTTAGTGGGGGTTACAAAGAATGTTGCAGAGAAAGAAACGGGTGGGGGAGGTGAGGTGCGGCGGGGGGCGAGGCATTGTGCGAGGCAATGATGGCGAGGGTGCACTCACAGGACTTGAAGACTACTGAGTGCGCTGAATGCAGCAGGTATCGTCCCTGTCAGGCGGTTGCGAGCTAGGCTCCTGCAAGTGGGGCGACAAACAAATTAGCATAAACACAGCATGGCTGCCTAGGCACATCGTGTTCTAACCGGTGTTGTTATTTGCGTGACGCGACACACATGCAGCATGCATGCACGCAACCAAGTTTCCACAGCAGTGGACCGCACAGAGGGGCATATGTGCGTGGTGGTGGCACGTGACGTGGGGCGAGCTGTGAAAGTGGCAAATGTGAGGCACATTGTTGAGCGTGCACTGACAGGTTGTCAATACTGCTGAGCGCGCTGAGTGCAGCAGGAATGGTCCCTCTAATGCGGTTGGAAGACAGATCCCTGCACGTGGGCGGAGCAACACACAGCGATAAGGGCACAGTTAGGGTGCTCTAGGCAGAGCATGCTTCGGTCAGTGGTGTGGCTGTAACATGGCATGCACGAGAGGTCGTTACAAGCAAGTGGTCACTGTAAGAAGCACTTCCACTTGCCCTCATGCTGCCTCTCCCTCTCGCTTCAATTGCCATGCCAAGACAGAGAGAGGTGGCGAGAGAGTGGGCGCACGCACATGAAAGTGAGACGGCTGAGTCTGCCCAAGGATGTAGGGATGATGCCAGCCAATCTGTTGCCGCTCAATTTCCTGCCAAGTGGGACGGGATGGGATGGCGAATCATCATGCTTGCATTCAAGGCTATCGGTGTATTCTTGTCAGCATTCCTTACTCCCTGATGAGGAGCAAACAGTGGTGAGAACAAGAAGCAGCACAATGCACAACTCAGCCTGCCACGGACAGCACAACCGTCTCAATGAGAAGGCAATGCAAGGCAAGGCAAGCTCGCTCTACCTTTTCGCTTTTCCTTGCAAACTTCAAATTGCAAATGGTTCATCGCATACCACTGCGTCTTGGCTTACATCTTGTCCAGGTTGGTGAGTCGCCCAAGTATCGAGGGAATGGGCCCTGACAGCCGATTGCCGCTGAGTTCCCTGCATTGTCACATGGCAGAGAGGGGTACAGAGTGGTACAGTTGGAGTGTGATTGGTACACTGTGGTAGTGACGTATACGGAGTGTGGCATAGTGTTGAGCAGTGCAGATATGCGTGGAGCAGTGGGGGGGAGGGCAAGGAGCACTGGGATGCAATGCATCGAGGGTGGCCCGCCGATGAGCACAACGGTGATGGCAGCCCAGGCAGGGAGCGCTTGCGGTCCCATGTTGTCCCAGGTGTGCGGTAACATGGCATGGAAGAGAAACTCTTGGAAGCAAGCGCCCAAGGGTTCTGAGAATCCAGTGGCAGAGGGGTTTGTGGATCGCCCTGTTGCTTCAACACCGCATGCGTGCGTGACTTGACGCACACACAACGAGCTGTGCTGCCCGTTCGCCCATGTGCCCCTGCCTCCCCATTTCCCCCCTTTTCCAGTCGTTGACCTTCAATCAAAGCCCTTGCCGACCATTGGCATTTATGCCAGCACAGTCGCCCTGGTGACTAGTAAAATCCATTTCTCCATCTCAAGTCCTTGCACCTTGTGTCTATCACCTGCCTTTGGGATGGGACCTCTCACAGCCTTGACTCAATTTTCATGGGACACGTGGTGTGGGCAGAGGAGAGAGTGGGCGCACAGTGTGGAGAGACGGCTGAGTCGTGAAAAGGAGTTGGGGATGGTCCAACTCAGATTGTTGCCTGGCAACCATCTGCCATGGGATGCCATGAGGTGGGTGCCATGGGATGGGATGGGATGGGATGGGATGGGATGGGATGGGATGGGATGGGATGGGATGGGATGGGATGGGATGGGATGGGATGGGATGGGATGGGATGGGTTGGGATGCAAAGGGTGTGACGAGGGCTTCGCTTGCCTCACAGTATTTTATTCCATGGCACGCGCTGGCTCTAGATTCCACGGCTGGCTGGCTGAGTGCACACACTGGACTGGTTGCACTGTGCTCAACCAGACAACGCTGTGCTGCATGCTGGGCAGCACAGCTGCTGGCAGCACCATGGCCATCTCATTCATAGCGCGCACTGCCCACTGCCCACTGCCCACTGCCCACTGCCCACTGCCCGCTGCCCAGCACTGTTCAAGCTCAGGTGCCCTCAGCAAGCGCCCAGCGCGTGCAGCACAGGGCAACCCTTGCGATGACATGTGCCTGGAATGGGAGTGAGGTGCAAGCACTCACACTCTCTCTCGCACTGTTGGTAAGGGAACACTTAAGTTCAGTGACAGGCAAATATCCTTGGCATGTGAACCACAACACACATGCACGTGCACGCTCACCCACCCCCTTACAGAGTCCCACTCGTACAGAGTCCCACTCGTACAGTCCCACTCGTACAGAGTCCCACTCGTACAGAGTCCCACTCGTACAGAGTCCCACTCGTACAGAGTCCCACTCGTACAGAGTCCCACTCTTACAGAATCCCACTCTTACAGAATCCCACTCTTACAGAATCCCACTCTTACAGAATCCCACTCTTACAGAATCCCACTCTTACAGAGTCCCACTCTTACAGAATCCCACTCTTACAGAATCCCACTCTTACAGAATCCCACTCTTACAGAATCCCACTCTTACAGAATCCCACTCTTACAGAATCCCACTCTTACAGAATCCCACTCTTACAGAATCCCACTCTTACAGAATCCCACTCTTACAGAATCCCACTCTTACAGAATCCCACTCTTACAGAATCCCACTCTTACAGCGTTTCCAGGTTGGCGAGGTTGCCCAGTGCACTGGGAAGGGTCCCCCACACCCCAGTGTAACTCAGACCCCTGCCATGCCATGCCGTGAGACAAAATGCGACATGGAAAGGAGCAGAGGAAGAGGGCAGAGAGAAGGAGAAGCGCGTGCAGATGAGGTGCATGGGGGGATGAAGGAAGTATGGAGGTGATAGGGATGGACCAGGGAGGAGCAGGTCATCCTTGCACAACGCACCTCAACCATGGCCAGGCAAAGCAGAGGCTGCACTGCCACGCACACGTGCTGAGGGAACATGCCCTCACATGCATTCGCCCCTTTCTCTCCCCGCTGCACCCATCATGCACCCACCATGCACCCACCATGCACCCACCATGCACCCACCATGCACCCACCATGCACCCACCATGCACCCACCATGCACCCACCATGCACCCACCATGCACCCACCATGCACCCACCATGCACCCACCATGCACCCACCATGCACCCACCATGCACCCACCATGCACCCACCATGCACCCACCATGCACCCACCATGCACCCACCATGCACCCACCATGCACCCACCATGCACCCACCATGCACCCACCATGCACCCACCATGCACCCACCATGCACCCACCATGCACCCACCATGCACCCACCATGCACCCACCATGCACCCACCATGCACCCACCATGCACCCACCATGCACCCACCATGCACCCACCATGCACCCACCATGCACCCACCATGCACCCACCATGCACCCACCATGCACCCACCATGCACCCACCATGCACCCACCATGCACCCACCATGCACCCACCATGCACCCACCATGCACCCACCATGCACCCACCATGCACCCACCATGCACCCACCATGCACCCATGCATGCACCCACCATGCACCCATGCATGCACCCACCATGCACCCATGCATGCACCCATGCATGCACCCACCATGCACCCATGCATGCACCCATGCATGCACCCACCATGCACCCATGCATGCACCCATGCATGCACCCATGCATGCACCCACCATGCACCCATGCATGCACCCATGCATGCACCCACCATGCACCCACCATGCACCCATGCATGCACCCATGCATGCACCCACCATGCACCCATGCATGCACCCATGCATGCACCCACCATGCACCCATGCATGCACCCATGCATGCTCCCACCATGCACCCATGCATGCACCCATGCATGCACCCACCATGCACCCATGCATGCACCCATGCATGCACCCACCATGCACCCATGCATGCACCCATGCATGCTCCCACCATGCACCCATGCATGCACCCATGCATGCACCCATGCATGCACCCATGCATGCACCCATGCATGCACCCATGCATGCACCCATGCATGCACCCATGCATGCACCCATGCATGCACCCATGCATGCACCCATGCATGCACCCATGCATGCACCCATGCATGCACCCATGCATGCACCCATGCATGCTCCCATGCATGCACCCATGCATGCACCCATGCATGCACCCATGCATGCACCCATGCATGCACCCATGCATGCACCCATGCATGCACCCATGCATGCACCCATGCATGCACCCATGCATGCACCCATGCATGCACCCATGCATGCACCCATGCATGCACCCATGCATGCTCCCACCATGCACCCATGCATGCACCCATGCATGCACCCATGCATGCACCCATGCATGCACCCATGCATGCACCCATGCATGCACCCATGCATGCACCCATGCATGCACCCATGCATGCACCCATGCATGCACCCATGCATGCACCCATGCATGCACCCATGCATGCACCCCATGCATGCACCCATGCATGCACCCATGCATGCACCCATGCATGCACCCATGCATGCACCCATGCATGCACCCATGCATGCACCCATGCATGCACCCATGCATGCACCCATGCATGCACCCATGCATGCACCCATGCATGCACCCATGCATGCACCCATGCATGCACCCATGCATGCACCCATGCATGCACCCATGCATGCACCCATGCATGCACCCATGCATGCACCCATGCATGCACCCATGCATGCACCCATGCATGCACCCATGCATGCACCCATGCATGCACCCATGCATGCACCCATGCATGCACCCATGCATGCACCCATGCATGCACCCATGCATGCACCCATGCATGCACCCATGCATGCACCCATGCATGCACCCATGCATGCACCCATGCATGCACCCATGCATGCACCCATGCATGCACCCATGCATGCACCCATGCATGCACCCATGCATGCACCCATGCATGCACCCATGCATGCACCCATGCATGCACCCATGCATGCACCCATGCATGCTCCCATGCATGCACCCATGCATGCACCCATGCATGCACCCATGCATGCACCCATGCATGCACCCATGCATGCACCCATGCATGCACCCATGCATGCACCCATGCATGCACCCATGCATGCACCCATGCATGCACCCATGCATGCACCCATGCATGCACCCATGCATGCACCCATGCATGCACCCATGCATGCACCCATGCATGCACCCATGCATGCACCCATGCATGCACCCATGCATGCACCCATGCATGCACCCATGCATGCACCCATGCATGCACCCATGCATGCACCCATGCATGCACCCATGCATGCACCCATGCATGCACCCATGCATGCACCCATGCATGCACCCATGCATGCACCCATGCATGCACCCATGCATGCACCCATGCATGCACCCATGCATGCACCCATGCATGCACCCATGCATGCACCCATGCATGCACCCATGCATGCACCCATGCATGCACCCATGCATGCACCCATGCATGCACCCATGCATGCACCCATGCATGCACCCATGCATGCACCCATGCATGCACCCATGCATGCACCCATGCATGCACCCATGCATGCACCCATGCATGCACCCATGCATGCACCCATGCATGCACCCATGCATGCACCCATGCATGCACCCATGCATGCACCCATGCATGCACCCATGCATGCACCCATGCATGCACCCATGCATGCACCCATGCATGCACCCATGCATGCACCCATGCATGCACCCATGCATGCACCCATGCATGCACCCATGCATGCACCCATGCATGCACCCATGCATGCACCCATGCATGCACCCATGCATGCACCCATGCATGCACCCATGCATGCACCCATGCATGCACCCATGCATGCACCCATGCATGCACCCATGCATGCACCCATGCATGCACCCATGCATGCACCCATGCATGCACCCATGCATGCACCCATGCATGCACCCATGCATGCACCCATGCATGCACCCATGCATGCACCCATGCATGCACCCATGCATGCACCCATGCATGCACCCATGCATGCACCCATGCATGCACCCATGCATGCACCCATGCATGCACCCATGCATGCACCCATGCATGCACCCATGCATGCACCCATGCATGCACCCATGCATGCACCCATGCATGCACCCATGCATGCACCCATGCATGCACCCATGCATGCACCCATGCATGCACCCATGCATGCACCCATGCATGCACCCATGCATGCACCCATGCATGCACCCATGCATGCACCCATGCATGCACCCATGCATGCACCCATGCATGCACCCATGCATGCACCCATGCATGCACCCATGCATGCACCCATGCATGCACCCATGCATGCACCCATGCATGCACCCATGCATGCACCCATGCATGCACCCATGCATGCACCCATGCATGCACCCATGCATGCACCCATGCATGCACCCATGCATGCACCCATGCATGCACCCATGCATGCACCCATGCATGCACCCATGCATGCACCCATGCATGCACCCATGCATGCACCCATGCATGCACCCATGCATGCACCCATGCATGCACCCATGCATGCACCCATGCATGCACCCATGCATGCACCCATGCATGCACCCATGCATGCACCCATGCATGCACCCATGCATGCACCCATGCATGCACCCATGCATGCACCCATGCATGCACCCATGCATGCACCCATGCATGCACCCATGCATGCACCCATGCATGCACCCATGCATGCACCCATGCATGCACCCATGCATGCACCCATGCATGCACCCATGCATGCACCCATGCATGCACCCATGCATGCACCCATGCATGCACCCATGCATGCACCCATGCATGCACCCATGCATGCACCCATGCATGCACCCATGCATGCACCCATGCATGCACCCATGCATGCACCCATGCATGCACCCATGCATGCACCCATGCATGCACCCATGCATGCACCCATGCATGCACCCATGCATGCACCCATGCATGCACCCATGCATGCACCCATGCATGCACCCATGCATGCTCCCATGCATGCTCCCATGCATGCACCCATGCATGCACCCATGCATGCACCCATGCATGCACCCATGCATGCACCCATGCATGCACCCATGCATGCACCCATGCATGCACCCATGCATGCACCCATGCATGCACCCATGCATGCACCCATGCATGCACCCATGCATGCACCCATGCATGCTCCCATGCATGCACCCATGCATGCACCCATGCATGCACCCATGCATGCTCCCATGCATGCACCCATGCATGCTCCCATGCATGCACCCATGCATGCACCCATGCATGCACCCATGCATGCACCCATGCATGCTCCCATGCATGCACCCATGCATGCACCCATGCATGCACCCATGCATGCACCCATGCATGCACCCATGCATGCACCCATGCATGCACCCATGCATGCACCCATGCATGCTCCCATGCATGCACCCATGCATGCACCCATGCATGCACCCATGCATGCTCCCATGCATGCACCCATGCATGCTCCCATGCATGCACCCATGCATGCACCCATGCATGCACCCATGCATGCACCCATGCATGCACCCATGCATGCTCCCATGCATGCTCCGGGACAGCATTGCATGTGTGTGTGTGCATGTCGTTCTTCCACTTGCCTCGCGCTCCTTTTCTCCCCACTCTGCGCCCTCGACTCACAGCATTTGAAGGTTGCTCATATCGCCCAGCAATGGCGGAATGGCCGGCTCGAATCCATTCGCCCCCATCGACCTGACACACACACACACACACGCACACACACACACACACACACACACACACACACACACACACACGCGCGCGCGGGATGGGAGCGGGCAGGGTAGCTATGGAATGAAAAACTCTTAAGGTTGGAAGCAAGCAGGGAGGGAGGGATAATGACACGGGAGAGAAGCCGCGCAGCAGGATGTCATACTTGCAAGAAAGCAGCTTGTGTGATAGCAGGGAGAGTCGAACTTCCTCACGAAGTGTTAAGGGCGGAGAGTGGGTGAGGGCACGCACAGGTGCTTGAGGGCAGTGAGGGTGGTCAGCACGGTGGGCAGTCCTTCCAGGCCGTTCGCGTTAATGTGCCTGCACGGCAGGCAGGCGTGCACACAGTGCAAGGAGGGGAGGGGGAGGCGAGATCTTGACTGGCATGCATGGACGAGCAGTGACGGGCGGGGCATGAGAGAAGAGAAGAGAACGTGGCGCCAGTATCTGTGCAACCTTTCCGCACCTCCCCACTTTCAACGAGCCACTCTCGAGCCTCATCATCATCATCATTGCATGCTTCCCACGGTCCAACCAGCCCATCATGCGCCCATCTGCCCATCCCGCGCCCTCGGCACCTCACTCTCCCACCAACCCACCCACCCATGCGCGCACTGCAACATTCCGCCCGTGGGCGTGCGAGGCACTCACAGAGCAGTGAGGTGCTGGAGGGCGCTGAAGCCGTCCGGCAGCGTCCCCCCCAGCGAGTTGTAGCTCAGGTCGCTGGCGCACCCACCACAAGGCACGCAGGGGGCACGCAGGGTAGGCGGTAAAAGTGAGTTGGTACAAGCAAGGCATGCAGCAGAGAGCATGGGCGATGAGGTAGGCAAGGGGTGCAGAGGGGACAGAAAGGGTTACATGCGCGGAGTCGAAACCGAGTGGCAGCCCACGAACAAGAGGTCAACATGGGTGGCGGTGAGTGAACTTCTCAAGGACGCGAGCTAGCCTAAACTAAACAGACTCAGAGAAGGGGACGGAGGGGGAGATGCACAGGAGAGAACGGCAGGGAGAGTGGGGGGTATGGGAGAAGGAGCGAGTGAGAAAGTGATAGGAAGAGAGGGAGCTGACAGGTGCCTGAGCGAGGTGATTCGGCCGAGGTCATCTGTCATGTTGCCCCCGAACAAGTTGCCGGCGAGTTTCCTGCTCACAGGGCCACGGATTGGGCGACGCTCGGTGTGAGGGGTGCAGGTGCGCGGTGCATGAGAGCCTCTGTCACGTGCGATATCAAACCAGACGCCATGGCATGGCAGCGCAGGGAAGCGCAGGGCATGGCATCGCATGGCATGGCATGTCCTTTGATTGGGACAGAAACGGCAAGAGAGGGTTGGTAGGGGTGAGACGGCTGGCAGGGAGGAAGTGCGAGGAAGGGACGGCGAAGAGGGTGGCGGGTTGGCTGGCTGACTGACTGACTGGGGCTAACGCATTGTGCGCAGTGGAAGGGCGGTCGCGGCGGTGGTGACTCACAAGGTTTCGAGAGCACTTGGGATGTTGCGAGTGACGAACGACGACAGCGACGCGGATATGCGACAGCCCGTCAGATTCCTGCTCACACGCATGCGCCGTGCATTCATTCAAGCGCACGTGCACGCACACCAACATTACATGGCGTGTGAGTCCCATCATATCCACGGCCACGAATCAATGCGCGCCCTCCATGCCCATGCAGCACGTGAAGGCGTGAAGGGGCAATGGCGGCTGTTAATTAACCAAACGAATATGAAAGGAGGGCAGGACGGCATGGAGGGGAGGGCGAAATGGAGAGCAGGGCGAAATGTAAGGCAGGGCGGCAGGGAGAGGAGGGGGCAGCGGATGCCTGACAGGTGCTTGAGGGTGGGCATGGCGAGGATGGCGGGTGGAACGCCTTTGTCGAGGCTGCTGGATGTGATGCTCCTGCGCACACACACACGCGGGTGACGTGGATGCGGGGGACAGGAGGCGCACAGAGAGAGCATCGGGATCACAGAGAAGGGAGTTGAGTTGAGGAACGTTGAGAGGTGAAGGAACGTGCGCGTGGTGCACCCATGGTTGGATGTGAGCAGTGGAATCAAATGGGCACTCGACACGCGAGACCACACGGACTGCTAACCACTTCGCACACCAGCACCGATTCCCACCCACCATCGCATGCAATATCACACCCCGCCATACCACACCCCGCCACAGCACACCCCACCATACCCATGCGGGGCATGCAAGGCGCCGGGCACTCACAGCGACGTGAGGTGCTCCAGCTGCGTAATGCGCGCGGGAACGATGTTCACGCCCTGCACGTCACTGGGAGGGGCACGCATGGGATGGGATCAACAGGTGAGCGGCAGGCAGCGCGGGAATATAAGCAGGCGAGGTACGGTGTGTTGCGTTTGGCAGTGTGCGGTGGGATGTACCCCCGCCCGCGGCATATCTGCCGTGGCGTGAGATGCTGTGTGCAGGCATGCATGGAACATGGAGTGGTGCGCTGCTCACATGGCAACGGCGTGCCCCTGTGCGTCGCAGCGCAGGCCTGTGAAGGTGTTGCAGTCCCTGCCGCGCACCCACGTCTTGCACGCCGCAGTGCTGCTCCACGCCACCGCCAGCTCCGCCACCACGCCCACTGCCATCCACCATGCGGGTCGCCGCATGCCATCCACCATGCCACCCACCATGCCATTTCCACCACCACAACGAGATTCCCACCACCACAACGAGATTCCCACCACCACAACGAGATTCCCACCACCACAACGAGATTCCCACCACCACAACGAGATTCCCACCACCACAACGAGATTCCCACCACCACAACGAGATTCCCACCACCAAAATGCGCATGCCATGCCATGCCATGCCACGCCATGCCACACATTCCCCCGTCGTGTGGGGAACAATCAAAGTCAGACTGGCAATGTGACAGCAGCACGGAAAGGCACGGGATCGGTCATGCTGGGCCAATGTGAAGACACCAATGACACACGCGGCCGCGCCTCGCTGCTGCCACCACGGCTTACTGTCAGGGTCCATCACGGGTACAGCCCGCGCGACAGGCATGCAGCAGCACGCCACCACCAGCGCCACCACCGCCGCCCTCGCCACCGCCATCGCTCGTACGCGCGTCGCCTGCGCCGTGCGCCACGCGACCGGCGTGTGCGAGCCCAGGCGAGCGGAGAATATGATCGCCGCATCATGCGGCGGCGGAATCCCGGATTCAGGGTTTTTGACGGGCCGTGCACGCCGGGGGACCGCCGCGCCGTGCGGCCTTCCCCAACGAGACGCTGCTGCCATCTAGTACTCGGTTCTTAGTGGATCCACGTGCTCGAACAAGTGAGAACCGATGATTTCAAGCGAACGGAATGTTCAGGGTTCAGGGAACGGAACTGAGATCTTCGGCAAATCGACGGAATGTTCCAACGGAAGAATGACTCGTCTCGCCGCTCCTAACTAGTACATCCATCGTGACTTGCGCCTGACTGCTCTCCATGTTGTGCGGGGGCCGAGACTCGCGTGGGGAAGGTGCTATTTGCCGTGCCTCGCTGGCTGGTCGTTGATGTTGCCCGCCAGCGCAGCAACGGAGTGCGAACTCGCACGACCTGCTATGACCAGATAGTCTCCCCCTTCCCATCAACTCACCTGATCAGAATTCCTGATCCACCGGTGGACCTGGTTTGACTTGCTGGTTGGTGGGAGCTGAAACAAATCGGCCACTCATTGACCTCGATCGCCCCCGAAGTAAGCCACGTGTACAAATCGTAACAGAATATCATGTAATCTGTTATGAGTTGTTAAAGAGAGTGCGCGGAATAACGAATAACGAGAGTATGACTCGATGAACTGCCAATACAATGAAGGCACGAGATTATATAGTGACTACCCTAGCTAGGAGGGAACCTCGGGGCTACGAGGTTGGGTGTAGGTTTGGCGATCGGGAAATTCGAAGGCGACGCAGAGCAGCCTTGGAAGTGTAGGTGTCGGCCGAAACGTGCGAAGTCCGAAATGTCGAGGTTTTACGTGTAGTTATCAACCCCGATAAGGAAAAGGGAAACGTCCTTACACTAGCCCCCCCCCCCCTCCCCCCCCCCTCCTCCCCCCCCTTAAGAAAAGTGGCCAATATCCGCAGCTCGCTTACGGGCGATATACTGTAATAACCAAGAAGCAGGGATAGTTCAAGCGAGGAGGATGTCACCCAAGTGTCGTCCTCACTGGAGCGGTTAGTCCAACGGACTAAGAAGTCCACGTAGCGGCCAGAGGCATCGAGGCGAACACGATGCATCAACATCTTGGAAGGATCGAGTGTCGGTTCCGGGACAGGCCGAGCTGTCGGGACGGCATTCTGGCGCCCGGTGTCTGTCCTGGCAGGCACGAATTTGCGAAGAAGGCTGGCATGGAAGGCGTCATATATACACCAATGGTCGGGTAGCAGATACACCTGACGGGGCAGGACGTGGGGGGGGCTACCATGGCGACGGGAGGTGGCTAAGGGGTGAGGAACAGCGGGGGAAAAGGCCTCAGAATCTCGGTGGGGGCGACTCCTAAAGTAACTGACTGACTCGTCAAAAGTTACGTCCTGAGAGGCAAAGAACTAGTGGGTGACTGGGTCGTAGAACACCCAGTCCGAGGCGTCGAGTGGGAAACCAAGAAAGACTCAGGCACTAGGGGCGCGAACGTGCCAGGGAACCCCAGACGCGGTAGTCAGCTGCTACGCCCGAAGAGCCTGTCCAAAGGGAGACCGGTGTCACCCGTGGCCATGCGACACTAGGCCATAGGTTCAGCTGGTGCGTGGCGTAGCGTACTGCTTCATGCTACAAGAAATGGGGGGCACCGGCATCGCACATAGAGGTCTGGGCAACCTCCATGACCAGGCCGATGCGTCGCTAGGCTACCCCGTTCTGGTGCGGCAAGTCTGGTAGCGTGTAAGACTGGATGATCCCCCGACCCTGACAGAACGTCTCTACGCGAATGGAAGAAAACTCACCACCACGATCCGAGTGTAGGCGGAGCCCACACAGGCCCTGAGCGCCACCCCTCGCTAGTAGCTACGGCTCTAGGACGGTATGCACGCTGCCCTTCCGTCGCAAGGGGAACACCGTGGTGTAGCAGGAATAGTCGTCCACCACAACCAGGAATTAGCGCTCCTGACGTGGGCCAAGGACCGGGGACGGGCCCCAGACGTCCAAGTGCAGGGTCTGGAAGGGGAATGACGAGGAGTGAGGGGCAGCGCAATGCCAACCCTCAACGCAAGAAATGCACGGCGGCGCAGGTGAGCGAGGAAGCGGGGCAAGCGACTCTAGGAGACCTGAGACTAAATGGTGACGTACCATCCTACTGAGACGTGGGAACGACGGGTAACCTAGAGAGTGGTGTTGGAGGACCGGGAGGTGGGTGAGTGACCTACAGTCGCACGACACAGCAACTACCTGACCTAACCTGACCTGGCCTGTCCAAGTTTGGTGGGACCCAGCGTGTAGTGAGCATAGACCAGAGCCCGACTCCCTGTAGAAAGTGGCCAGAGGTGCCCCAGTGGCACCGATTGTGCAGGAGGCAATAGACTCATCCAGTGGGAAGGTAGTGACTACACCTAGGTCGTGGAGGTAACTGACACCCACCAGGTTCCTGGAGAACAAGGGGGTGTAGTAACACGTGAGAAACCCAGAGAGAGGTGCCAGACACGGGAGAGTGGTGGTGCTGTGGGCAACTACAGGTCCCACGGAGGGGCCAGCGAAGTTAACAGTGACTAGAGTGTCCAGTGGTGTGAGGCCAGTATAGTCGTGAAAGAAACAGCTGGACGCTCCAGAGTCTAAGGTGAAGGAAAGCTGTGCAGTCTGTGAGGTCGCACCCGAGCCAGCGACAAAGGCTGGTGCTTAACAATTGGTAGGTGCAACTCCCACACAAAGACCCTCAGAGGCGCATGGACTTGAAACTAGACACACACGAAGTCTGGAAACACAGGTCTTTACACGTGCAGTCGGGAAAGGTCCTAGACCAGGTGGGTGAGACTCAACTTGTGCAGCAGTGCCAAGACGCGAGGGCCAGTGCGGTGCAATAGTGAGGACCAAAACGCTCACGGTGGAGGTCCTCGAGGCGACGGTAGCAACGGGATGCCGAGTGGTCAGGACTTCAACAGGTAGTGCCATCACTAGGGCCTGTCAGGGCCCGGTACTCGCAGGGGCCGACGTCTCGCCCACTGCTAGGCTGAGCCACTGCTGGGGGTGCCACACTTTGGACCCGCAGGTCCCCACTGCCGGAAGTGGTGCGGCTGGCCTTGCTACTGTAGAACCCTAGTACACGCCATGTGAGGAGCTAGAAACGAGGCGTCGTTCTGGCAGTTTTGGAGCGATGGGGAGCACTCAAGAGCAGGTGGGTGGGCCTGTAGGGCGATTTCTCACTGTGGTATGTGGGGGTGCTTACAGGTGGGCCTAAGCTGCTGCTAGTGCTGCTGTCGATAGCCTAAGCTGCTGCTGGTTCTGCTGGGGGCAACCTATGCTGCTGCTGGCTCTACTGGGGGCAGCCTATGCTGCTGCTGGTTCTACTGGGGGCAGCCTAATTTGCTGCTGGTGCGCTGGCGGTAGCCTATGCTGCTGCTGGTGCACTGGGGGCAGCCTATGATGCTGCTGGTTCTGCTAGGGGCAGCCCAAGCTGCTGCTGGCTCTGCTGGGGGCAGCCTAAACTGTTGCTGGTGCGCTGGCATTAGCCTGAGCTGCTGCTGGTGCGCTGGGGGCAGCCTATGCTGCTGCTGGTTCTGCTGGGGGGTAGCCTATGCTGCTGCTGGTTCTGCTGGGGGCAGCCTATGCTGCTGCTGGTTCTTCTGGGGGCAGCCTAAGTTGCTACTGGTGCTGCTGGCAGCAGCTTAGGCTGCTGGTGGTGCTACTGGTGTTGCTGGCGGCGAGTTTCAGCGCGTGGGGCGGCGGGTTTCAGGTGATGCAGCAGTTTCAGGTGTGGGGCGGCAGGTTTATGGTATGGGGCCACGGGTTTCAGGTGTGGGGCTGCGGGTTTCATGTGGGGCGGCAGTTTCAGGTCGTGAGGCGGCGGTTTCAGGTGTGGGGCGGCGGGTTTCATGTGTGGGGCAGCGGGTGTCAGGTGTGGGGCAGCGGGTTTCATGTGGGGCGGTGGTTTCAGGTCGTGGGGCGGCGGTTTCAGGTGTGGGGCAGCGGGTTTCAGGTGTTGCGGCGGTTTCAGGTCGTGGGGTCGATGGGTTTCAGGTGGGGTGGTGGTTTCAGGTCGTAGTGACGGTTAAGGTAGTGGGCAACGGGTGGGGAAGGGTGCGCCTACCGCCTGCACGCGCACGCGACTGCTGCTGCTGCGCGTGCGTGCGGTCGCGGCG